AGTGACAATAGTGACATTGGTGGTGTGATATATGTACGTAATGAGCAATTATTTACACTAAGCATATTATTATCAGTAATCCCCATAATATAATAATATATTATGAATAAACATTTCATAATATTATAATATTAGGTGTAAGCATTACAAAGTAATATAATAAATAATATAACTATTGTTGATTCGAAATGATTGTAAGTATAATACTAGCTGAAAATTGCAGTGTGGTCTCTTAGAATAATGTTGTTATAATTACTGAAACACCCCTAATTGTTTAAATATCGGTTGTACAAATTATAAACGTTTTAATGCTTTTAGAGAATCGAGTATAACGATAGCGATAAGTATAAGGGTTAAACCGATTATGATAACATTCGTAAGAACGGCCATGGCGTCGAGACGTATATGCAATGTCCATTGTTTGACCTTGAAATGAAACTATTTTGACAATTTATTATTGAGAACAAATATGCGATACGGAACTAAAAAAGGAAAATATTTATTCGAGTATATTTTTGTCACTCCGCAGTGGTGAGCGGTGTGTGTGTGTATGTGTGTGGTTTGGTTAAAGGATGACATATTTTGATGGATTTTATGAGATTTACGTCGTCGTATTCTCGAAGAATAAATGTTATTTTATTTTTTGACAAAAACCATTGTCATACCAAGCAATAATAATAGAACTCGTCTTATCTGTGCGATTCAGGCGGCGCCTCCGAAATCCGGCGAGTCCAGTTTTCGTTTCCTGCGAAATAACCAATTGCAGTCGAAACCATAAGACGACGAGTGTGTTTGCGCACTTTTCGATAAATGTCCGACACAACGATATATCAACTCATCAAACTTATTATTATTTACTATAATACCGTAAAGTATATATAGGTATCCGATTTTTTTCGCGAAAATCCCGTCGGCACGGCTTTTGTATTAATGCCGGGATTATTTTTGCATAAAAACTAAAGCGACCATGATAATTATGGCTATGCTCCCTGGTAAAGCTACGCTCCGTTGTTATGTTAGTTATTATATATTTTTATATTTATATAGTTTTTTTTCTTTTTTTTTTTAGTTAAATGTATACATTTTTATATTGCTGTTTTTCCATGCATGTAGAACAGGGCCATTTCGGCCCCGCAGGAGGGATGACTATAAATTAACGAGGATTTCGCTGGGCTCATTCCCATTCAATTTTCTAAAACACAACGCCCCCCCGTTAGTGTCAGGTCTCTTTGTTTTATTATTATTTTAGCTTCATATATATATATATGCAATATGTATACATTGTACATATATTTTATTCTCGTTATTTTACATCCATAGTGACCTTTTTATGCGTAATATATTAACACTGTATTCGAAAACGCTTGATAATAATATGAAGTCTATAAATATATTTTAATCGATCTTCACTATCATGACCCAAGCGCATACGGATTATTTTATATCCTTCTGAATATGATAGTAAATATAATATCAAATAAGGTTTGTGGAAAAATAGCATAAACAAATGGGTATTGGAAGTCTAATGAAATTGAAAACACTTGCCTCCTTTAAAATCTCGACTATGATTAAAACTCAACACTCTAATTCATTCTCAAAACTTTACTTTTTTACATACCTATCGGACTAGACCTACAAGTAGTTGAATCGCTTACCCTTGGTATACACCGATAGGACTGATAACCTCGACACTTGCGATAGCTTTCATTATTCCACTTCATAGGCGGAATCGACTACAATTTCAGGGGGGGGGGGGCAACATTATTAACATCAATGTGAATGGTTAGGCTTCGATCCTACAAAACTAAAAAGGACGGGACTTGACGGACTTTGGGGGACTAGTCCCCTGAATCTCCCCCCCCCCCGATTTCCGCCAATATTCCATTACTAAAAGCAACAAACATTCACCAGGTCACTATATCCAACTTGATCATTGTTTCCCACAAACCGATATTCTGTTTTCGGCTCGGGGGTTTGGGCTAGATCCTCTGGCCATCTGAAAGCTTGAATTATAGAATTATAACATGAAATGGTATATATTTTTTTTTTTTTAAACAAAACTCAAAATAATGACATATTATAGATCATATTAATATACTCAGATGTTTAACTGTGGATAAATAACAAGTTTCAAAATTACATGGAAAGAACCAACGAGTTAAAAACAATTAGAAATTTATATTTAAATAATTATTGATTGATCGTATAATTAAAAAGGGGTAAAGTCGCAAAGTCTATACAAGCAAAAGTCGTAGGTACTATAAATTTTAAATTGTTTATAATTAGCAGCTTAAACTTGTAATGGCCCTAACCATTTAAAGTATTTGTTACCCAATGGTTAACATAACGATTTAAACTTTAAAACCAATATATTGTAGAGGTAAAATTTTAAAACATTTTTTTTTAATATTTAAGTGGCTGTCGGTATAAAACTAGGTAAGCGTTAAAAATGTATTAAATGCTTATATACCTTAACTATATTGAATGGTACTATTTAGTATATTATATTAAGTTTAACATATATACAATGACCATAAAAAACCGGTATATTTTAGTGTTCTTGATAAATACTTGTGCCATGTATTATAGTTAATCAACAACTATGCATATTATTGTATCCAGCTTGCAGTATAAAGCTTTTTACAGTTATGAAAATCTTTGAACATTCATAAAATATTAGATGATAATATGCGATTACGTACCTAGTATTTTAGGGTTTGTTATTATGATTATACATGATATAATATGGCGATATTAGTTCTAATTTTGGTAAACCTCAGTTTGTAAAGTATTGGAAAACAGTAGGTAGTTTTGATTTTATAATCCGTTACTTAACTGCATTTCGTATGAACTAATTTAAGTGATTTAGAAAGGTACCAAACTCCAAACAATAACAAATATAATATAAACTAACTATGTTAGAGATATATAATACCACCGCCCCGCCGCTTGTTCGTAAGTACAAGATACACTTCAGTGACATTTAATTCTGCTCAAAATATCTTGGTACATAGTGTTTACTCAACAAAGCTAAAGTGTAAAATCAAATACAAATCAACTAGAAATAGATACGAAACTCAAACACATGCAGCCAAAGCTAACATTTTGTATAATAATAGTTGTAACAATTCATTGTTTAATTTGTTATGAGTTTATGAACCGATATTCATTTTGATTAAAAACATGATGAGTGTTGCACACAAAATCAAATAAGCGCAACTCAAAGCGTATCCCTGTGTTATCTGTAGTAACCCCAGTAACTGGTTTATCAATAAATAGTAATCAAATTAAACTGTGAATATCAATCGTTTTTAAACTAACTCGAGTTGCATATTGCACACTCATTGTTAGTCAATCAACAATATATCGTTTGTACATATAAGTACATTACCGAATTCAATAGTTTTATAGTAATTGCATATGGAATATCAGATATATCACTATTACAATATTACTAATTATCAATCATATTTAAATTGCAATAACCTTATTAGCAACTAATTAAACATATTACCTACATATAATAATATAAATCTGCAGTTCCGAATATCTAATTAATTTGATTGGCTAAATAAGGTAAGGTATTATTAAATTATTATAAAATGGTGTATGCAAATATATTGTATATAACATGTATAATAATATCAAATGAATACCCATATTATATTGTATAATATGTATGGATATTATATATTTTGTTACTATAAAATGCTAAGCATTTTCTATCAAAAAAAAAAAAATTGAATTTTTAACTGTCTATTATGGTAAAAAAAAAATATAAACAACTATTCAATTTTAATAACTATTGGCATTCCGTACATACTATATGGGTACCTATAGCCGGATATAGGTACTTCTAAAATTTCTTGAAAATTAAGTTTTACTTGTATAACTAATTTGAGTACAAAAACTGTTGATAAACTTAGAAATTCTTTTAGAAAATAATTTTAAACTCTATTATTATTATCATCTATACTCGTTATAATATGCCATAAGAATAGTTTTTATTCTAGTTTAAATTACTTTGAAATGTATTACATCTTTACTCATCGATAATATCACATTTAGGTATGAGTCGTACCAAAAAGCTTCAAGCGTTTCAATCCATCTGCTTACGACTAGTAACGTCGTCTCCTTCGTATTTCATAAACAATAATCTTCACAAAAAAAAAAAAAATGCTTAACCTTAATCAATTAGTAAAATTATATTACTTTACATTTCATACTAACTCTCACAGTAACCCATTAATCAAACAAATATCCTCCTTCTCGTTTCCCGAAATGGACATAGAAGACTTAAAATACAGGGGCCAAGAGACCTTCTAAAATAAATAGAAAATAATGAACAAATAAACAATAGTTAATACTTAAAAAGTACCTTTTCGTTTGGCACTGCTGAGTACCTGCCCATAAACGCTACCTTCTGTTGATAATCATGTATCAAATTTACTCATTGTACTAATTTTAATGTATAGATTGTAAATAAAATGTTTAATAAATAAATATTAAAAAAAAGTATGAGTCAACTTGTCAACGTGTACCCTACCTTAAAGTTTACAAATCAATACAAAATTAATGATAATTATTCATACTACACATTACGAGTATGAGTAAGAATTATATTTTATGTAAATAAGTACCATATTATGGTAGTATTTAATATGTGTAATCACACAGTATGAAAAGAACAGTATTCTTAAACATATAATATATTATATTAACTGTAATGAGGATAGTTTATGATGGGTTAATGCGATTTGATAAATATATTATGTTATTTTAATATTGTCCGTGTCGGTCCTCGATCGGATAATACAATATTTTTCCCGACGACGTTAGACACTCGTCGTTGTTCTATAAACCCCGCGGGAACGATTTCCGACATCGAATCATAACCATCTGCTCGCAGTGTTCATTATCAGAGCGGTCGTTTGGAGTTTAAAACAGAAACTCTACCAAATTAGGTACTCGAATAGGCGATTTAAATATCACGGCATAATTCAGCGTGACGCCGGCGAGTTGGGTGTATACGATCGTCTGAACATCTGTTCGCGTTTCCGAAGTAAGGGCGGGAGGGCGGAACTGCGGTTTTTTACTGTTTTTATTTCGTTGGACTCGCTGCAAACGGCCTGCGGTGGCCAAAAACTACACACACAAGTCGATGCTGCATGGAACAACGGTGGCTGGAAACGGTTGTCGTTCTTAAAACGGTTTTCGTCGCCACTGACGAAAGTGCAGTATTTCGTCCCGGGGGAACAAGGACGACAACTACGGTGGTGGTGGGCTTGCCAAGTCCTATCGTTTATCCGGACCGGCCTCACCGATGTCGCAGGGTAGACGACGCTAAAAACAAACGCGGTTAATGTGCTGTTTGGCATTCCACCGGCGGCGGCGGCGGCGGCGACGAGAGAGAAAGCAGCTCGAAAACCCCGGACATTTTTCACGAAACGCCAAATGGAAACCATTCATTTCCGAGCCAGAGTTCGTGCGTTCACGGACCGCCGCCGCGGACTCGTGCGTTACGTCATGGGTTAGGGGATGTGTTGTTACTGTGGCAAGAACACGGCGCAGGGGGGGGGGGTTAACCGCGGAGGTACTTCGAGGTGGGTAAATAATACGCCGTTTAATGTGATACCTACATCTATATATATATGCGAGCACAGCGTGTGAGGTGTATAGGATAATGCGTACCGCTATACCGAAATATCGTTGTATACCGCGAGTTAATAGGTAAGTACTGCAGCTGGTTTACTGCGTCGAGATAAACTTAATAATAATAACATATCGTATCGACACGACCATGAATTTAATACATTATAAACTTAAAGCTGGCCGTCACTATTAAAAGTTAAAATTGTGGATGATTATATTTTAAAACTTTTATTATTTACAGTCTATGCAGATACAAGTATAATGAGTAAATTTGATAATTCATATTTTTAAATATGATAGGAGAGTAGGTATAATAGGTGGGCACTCTGAAGCAGTGTCACCATACTATTGTTTAAACATTAACAAATTGTGATCTACGTGTACTGTGTGTACATAGGTACCTACCTAATATTATATAATATTCACGGACAACAGATATTATTGTAAAAAATGTATCAAAACTTCACGCTACTTCTGCATAATATTGTGTGAACGAAACGTTTACCTACCTATCTGAAATCGTTAATGGTTTCGAATAGTAGGTATTACAATTTTCGAAGGTACAGTTTTTGAATACTATTCTTTTGTATTTTTGTATAATCAACATTTGATTAAGTCACTATAATGTGTCTATTATTGGTTAAAAATAATAAAAATATTTTTTTTATTATTATTTTTGATTAATCGGTGTCAACAAAGGACATTGGGTGAAAGTTATTTTAAGCTTTTTTTTTAGTGTTTGGTACGGTTGGCTTAAACAATTGTATAGTGGAGTGGATTTGTCACTAAAACCCAGGTGGTCACCCATCTGGGAACTAATGAGTAGTGATACCAGCCAGTCCTTACACTCAGTACACGATTTGTGACAGAGGACAACCACCGTGCCACACCATGCCACAACTAATATTATTATAATTAATAATTATGGTAAACTAAATAAATTTTTTTTCGATTGTTGGTTTTTTTATTTGACGGTGACTTTTTTATTCAAATATTAAAGTTATACGTATTTATTCTATAGAAATATGAGAACCTAAAAATAATAATATCTTATAAATAAAGTAATGAATTTTACTGAGAAATGCGTTGTTAAGATTATATATTTTAAAGTTTTAATACGATAAAAGTTTTTAAATATGTTAAAAAATGTATAAAAATGTGTTTACTACCATAAACTTTGACCTAAATAAGTAATATGGTAATTGTACAGTTCCATAAGCCAATATAATAAATAATTAATCAACATTTGAAAAATAATTTTAATTATTTGAATAAATAATTAAATTATGCTTTAGTACTTACGTATTCGTGGACCGTTAAACCCATAGACAAATATTTAGTTACTTAGATACTTGATAATCTTTAAATCTTTGAGAATATAGATACTTATTGTTCAGTGAAAACTTAAGTCAAATAAATTCTGTGTAACAACAGAAAATGAATAATTGTATAGATCTATCCCAAAACACTCTGTCCAAACACTCAAAACAAATATTATGCAAATCCACGAAGTCCCAAACCTACTTAATATGTTAAGGACTTTCTTACTGCTATACCAAATCCATTGGTCCATTAAGCAACACTTTATTTGTATCAATATTTTTCTTTTAAATGCAATATTCTAAATAATATAATATATTATCTGCGAGATTTGTTAAAAATTTACGATTTTACATTAATATCACATTTCAAAATGTAAAACGATATAAAACAAAATAATGGTGTATAAATGTAATAATATTTGTAAAAATAAATGCTTCAAATAATTTTCTTGAAAAACAAATGCAAAGTATAAGTGGAGACCAAATGTATTAAATATGTAAAAAAAAGATATGTTTTCAAGTTCGTATATCTTTATAGTAGTCTAGTCAGTATCTTAAATGTCCTTTTATAAACAAACAGGATTAAACCCGTAGTAGAAAATATACGTAAATTGACGCCATGTTTCTTACGATAAAATTGTATTTGGATAGATAACCTGCTTATATCTTGGGGGGAAATAAGGTAAAAGTCATCCTTATGTAATAAATCGCTAGTTATTCCGACTGCACATTTTGATAGGCACTTTATTTTCGGCTACGGCCGAAAAGTTATGATAAAAAATAAAAAATATGAAACGCAACCTTAGCGGTGTCGAACAATTTTCTTCGGACGTTATTCTTTTTTATTTTTACATAGGGGAATTTTATGACTTCCGATAAATTTCCCCCTGTAGAGATTTTATGATTCGGTGGACACCTTAGTGAAAACTTTAGCTTTTCTCCTCGTGAAATTTTCACACCCCCTTATATTTTTATTATATATATATTTTTTTTATGATAATGCAGTGTAACTCTGCGGGATAGTGCTCCCCCATGTAAAACCCCTTGATGAAAAAAAATCCAGATCAAATCCTGAAATTAGTATTGAAAAACCTAAGCTGATTATCGATATATACGACAACACATTTTTCATCTGCGTCTGTCCTATTTAGAAAGGGGTTTCGACCCCTCGAGGTGTGAAATATCATAACCAGTCGGCATAATCGAGAAGGGTATACGATTGACGAAGTCCCCTTGGTCGGATTACCACTCCCTTCACACCATTTTTTGAAATTTGATTTTGTCACGTTCGCGAATGATCCCAATATTTCTCTTACTTATTTCTAAGGAACGTGTAGAAAAGAAAACGAATCGTATATATATTACGGACGAGCTCTCAATGGATGTAAGTAGATGATTATTATTATCAAATATGACATATTATATTTAATAATAAATATATATTTTTAGTTATTTTCATCTTACCTATCACATAATATCTAATCAACGTTTTAATTAGAAAAGAGAAAATATACATTAAAAAATTAATAGTATAATACTCGAAAATAACTAAAGTTAAACATTTTTTATGCCGGTAGGGGAACACGTGTGTGTGCTTTGTTTGGCAGAATTTTTGATTGGGCACCCGTAGGTATCTGCCATTCCCGGGTGGGGGATGGTGGTACTTGTTCTAACCTAACCGTGACTTGCCCGAAGAAAAATGCCCCCCATGACTGAGGTATCGAGCCAGCGTCGGCTGCGTTGCTGCCGACGCCTTAGACAGGTCAGCCACTCCGCCTCCCCAAAATATTAATTTAATGTAATAACTATTAAAGTCAATAATAGTTAAGTCATTATGCACATTGAACACATTAAGAAATTGTTTTGCCAAATATAAAGATAATTAATCACACAAACATCTGTGATTTAATAATTTAAAAAAGTTATTAATTATACTATCAAGATGATTCTAACGCATAATCTTATTTTTTAATTCAGTAAACCCCTCTTAATTGTTCTTTTTAATGAATATTTAATTTAATTTATAAATAAATCATAAACTAACAACATTAGTAACTTTAAAATCCAAATATTTTTGCAATCAATTGTCTAATTATTTTTAATTTACATATTTTTTGGTAAAATATAAAATATAGTCTTACACTGTTGGTTGTACCCGGTGAGGATTTAGTATCCTCATTAACTGATTTAAAAATCAAAACTATAAACATTATTGTATTGTTTCGGATGACAATATAAAAATACTATATATGATACTTTTTACGGTACGATGTATTTGTACAACAACGCAGCCTATGCAACATTTCGTATTGATTGAGCCAACTCTAAATGCTCGGGGAAAATGGTTTTCGAAACAATACAATAATATCTAGCGTATATGTGGCAAATGAAAATCCCTTAAACCGCAGTCTGGCTGAACGCTCTTACTTCGTAAACAATAATTTTAAAACAAATACGCACTTTGATTATCGTAGTTGGTTCCGACCCTCCATAACTCAGAAACAGTGGCAAGAAAATGAGGTCAAAAATGTATATTACAATTTTAAAGCAGACATTATTTGTTTTTTAATTTAACACCAACAAAAACAATAGGCTGCGTTGCCACTGTTGGATATTTGTCGTCGCTATTTACTCTACCAGGACATTATATTTACTTATCTTTTTTGCTTGTCTCTCTAACAATACTTCCTAGTGGATATTCAAACTATCGATCCCGGAATGTAGTGGCGTACTGCCAAACACGTTCTCAGAAACGGTTTTAATAAAAAAAATAACACGCGTGAATTGGGCATTTGCGGAATGTTTGGAACTTGGAACCTATTCCACCAAAAACCCACACACACGAGCTCACCACTGAACCCGATGCCCCTTTTCAGCTATTCTATACCACACTGCACAGACGCGCAGAGGTTTGGTAGAATTATATTTTATTATTATGAAGATAAATTAAATCAAAATTTATTTTAATATTATTTATTCATTATGTAAACGTACCTATGTATAATATATACATAATATATGACATTTTGGTATAAATATCATTAATTACGTGTTATGACTTGACACGTTGGTGGTTAATGGTTTTGAAGGAAGCGAGCGAAAATATATGAAATTGCACCAAAATATCACACCCATTATGTATCATAATATTTTCAATTCATACCTATTTGTATTGAAATATAAAACTCTGCGAAGCTGTACAAAAGCCACTATTATCCAAGGCAAGCATAGGTCTTACGGACTTCAACAGTTCTACTACTAACAGTGTTGAGCGCAACGCAAACGATTGAACACCAGAAGGTTAGATACAGCGAACTTCTGTTTAATTTTGTTTTATTATTTTTTAATAGTAGGTGCCTTACTTGTGCTAGTTGCATATTTTTTTCTGGAATTATTCGTAATATGATTCACACTGTTAATCCACATCGTTATATTTTGGATCGTATAATAACACGGCGTTGACAGTTAGCGTTTGTCGGTGTTGTCGCTAA